GCTGGAGGGAAACCTGATCTTCTATAAACCAGACCTGGAAAAGAGTGGCATCAACATCAAAGATGCTTCAATGCTCTCAGGACTGTTTACTGAGATCTTTAAAGAGGAGAAAGGGATGGACGACACCTCAGTCTACTCCTTCGTTCATCTGAGCTTCCAGGAGTTTCTGGCTGCAGTCTACATGCTCCACTGCTTCACCAGCAGGAACACAGAGGTGGTGGAGAACTTCCTGGGAGGAAAATACAGAGAAACATCTCTTGAGAAATTCATGAAGAAAGTCATGGAGAAATCCCTCAGGAGTACAAATGGCCACCTGGACTTGTTTGCTCGCTTCCTTCATGGCCTCTCTGTGGAGTCCAACCACAAACTCTTAGGCTTTCTACTGGGTCAAATGGAGACCAGTCCAAGAACCATCCAGAGAGTTATCAACAACCTGAAGGAGATGAACACTGATGAAGATGTATCTCCTGATAGAAGCATCAACATCTTCCACTGTCGTCTGGAGATGCAGGACCTCTCAGTTTATCAGGAGATCCAACAGTTCCTGAGATCAGGGAAGGAGCTCTCAGAGACCCAGTGCTCAGCTCTGGCCTACATGCTGCAGATGTCAGAGGTTCTGGATGAGTTAGACCTGGAGAAGTGCAACACATCAGAAGGAGGACGACGTAGACTGGTTCCAGCTGTGAGGAACTGCAGAAAGGCTCGGTGAGTCCAGATGTCTTCATGGGGTGATGCTGATTCAGCTCTATTGTCCTCCTGGTTCTTCTTCATGGTTCTAGTTGCTTCTGGACTTTTTTGCTCTTTAACTTCTTACTTCATCCTTTGGACCTTTTTAACCATTCAAACATCTCCTTCAGGACAGCTCTGCTGGAGCTTTTGCTGTTTAGAGATTTGGATCAAATTTAAAATTTTCAACTTTGGATCAGTTTCCATCTTTCATTGAAATGAACATAAAACCTTCAGTTTGTAGAAAATCAGTGTTTTCTCTAAAGGTCCAATCAGCCAGAGACCCATCAGAGCCTTTAAACTCCTCTTCACTCATTGGGCTGTTAGCCCAGAATTCACCTTTTTAGTCTCTTTGATTTTTTTTTATAAAATCACTTTTTGGCTTTGATGGTAACTTGGACCATTCAGATCAATCCCTGCATTGCTGCTGTTGCCATGGAGATGAGTTGTTTGGATTTAGAACCAACTTTTCCTCTTGCCACAGATTTCCCTCTGAGTTTGTAAATTGGAGCCAACATGTGTTGATTTGTCTGGTTTCAGAAAATGTCATTCCTGTAGGAGTCCTAGTTTCTGTCAGATCCTCCCAAAGCTCTGAGAACTCTGCTTCCAGAGTTTGGAACCATTTTCCTCATCAACACTTCATCTGCTGCTATTGTTGAAGCTGTTAGATGTACTCCATAAAGACCTGCAGAGACATGAGCTTTAACCCTTTAGACATTCCAGCCTCTTCTAATTACTGGGAAAAAATTAACAGCTTTCACATGAAAAATGCTGCTTGACGCAAACGCTCTGTCTCCTCCCAGAGGTTTGGGCCATGATGTAGAGAGCAGATGTTCATCAGATGATGACATCACTGTTTGCTCATCATGTTTTAGTCTGTGTTTATCATCCAGATTGTCTGATTTAATTGGAACTGACTTTATTTATCCTCTGATCACAGACTTGGTGGCTGTTCTCTCGATGAGGCTGAGTGTGAAATTGTGGCCTCAGCTCTGAAGTCCAACCTTCATCTGACTGAAGTGATAATAGATCTGACCTTTTTAGGTGGATCTGGAGACTCTGGAATGAAGCATCTGTGTGAGATACTGGAGAGTTCAATCTGCAAAGTGAAGAAACTGGCGTGAGTTTTCTCTGTTTATTCAAACATCATCACATATTGAAACTTTATTTTCCTGTTCTACAAACTTTTTAAAATGTTTTGTTGGGATTTATTTATTTTTTTTTTTTTTTGGGGGGGGGGAGATTTAAAAAAATGAGCAGAATTAGTGAAATGATAGTAATGAAGATCTTTCAGTTTGATTTGGGAAAGAATTAGACACTAAGTCGAGATAAGATGGCTCTATTTCTCATTTCTTATCCATATCTTTACATCTAGAATGGTCTTTAGTTCCTTTGGAGTAGAACCATTGGAACAATTATAATGAAAAATAATGTCTGAGAAGACGACAATAAAAGCTTCTTTTTATCCTATCCAGAACAAGCAGGAAACAAGGCAGGTATCTGTTCAGTATGTAACCCAGATAGTAAAACATAAAACATATTTAAGATAAGAAATAGAAAATATAAATTCATTTTATATATCCTTTTATTTCAGTTGATTTAAAGTTCATATAAAGTTTTTAGAAATATCTTTGCATTGTTTAAAATAAGTTATTTTTATTTTGTGGGGGATTGCCAGTTAACATTGTATTTTCCTACAACGGTACGGTCTATGAAGGCAGCACAGGTGTGAGGGGAAAAAAATGAAAGAATTGCAGAAGGAGAGTTTGCTTGAGTGTTAGAAAAGATAGGTTCGGAAAAGGATTAGGGCCACTGGGAAAAAAAAAATATTTTAATTAATCTCAGAATTCTGACTTTTTTTCAGAATTCCGGCTGAATTCTGACAGTTAAAAAGTCAGAATTCTGAAATTAAAGTCAGAATTCTGAGATTAAAGTCAGAATTCTGACTAAAATCTGACAATAAAAAAAAGTCAGAATTCTGAGATTTAAGTCAGAATTCCGAGATTAAAGTCAGAATTCTGAGATTAAAGTCAGAATTCTGAGAAAAAAAGTCAGAATTCTGAGATTAAAGTCAGAATTCTGAGAAAAAAAGTCAGAATTCTGAGATTAAAGTCAGAATTCTGAGAAAAAAGCCAGAAGTCCGACTTTTTGCCAATACTAAACTGAAATAAAATTTATGAAATCAGTTTACTTTTTTTTTTCAGTGATCCTAATCCTCTTCCATAGATAGGAGAGGAGTATGGCAGGCCATTTTAACATTTATTAGAAGCTGTATTGTTCCATTTGTTGAAGTCTAAAATAAGATTCTTCCTAGTCAAAACTCTATTCCTAGTTGTCAGAAATTTACATATTGTCAACAATGGGTGGTAAGGTTTCTTTGAGGACCCAGATGCAGAGGGGAGTGAAGCAGAGATGAGTTCTGACAGATTTAATTGAAAAACACAGGTAACAGAGGCAGCAATCTAGAAATCCAACTTAAATGTTAAACAAAACAATAACCATGGAAATATCAGGGGAAAACGAACATGAGGAGCCAGAGAGAGACAAGGTGAGAAGACAACTACAGCGACAACAAGGAACAAGGAGCAAGAGTGACAGCAGAAGGAGAGTATATATGGCTGACTGAACAAAGGCAGGGCTAACGAGCTAATAAGGAGCAGGTGGGAGTTAAGAGCAGTCTAGGAAGGAGCTAAGGAAAAGGACACCAACACAAGTGGGCAACACATAAATACCAAATAACTCATATATCCAGAATATACAACAAAATATGAATGAAACCAATAAAACTAGAAAACATGGAGCAAAGTAAAGCATTATAGAACCAAGACCATTACACATATAGATATCCTAAATTACATGTTTACTAGCAAAAATTAAATTTCAGGCTGCCAAAAATATAATTGTATAGTAAGAATAGACTTTCAGATACCTAGAAATCTTTACAAATTTAAGTGGCCCTTTTGACATTTATTAGTTTAACTGAATATATATTTCAGATGTCTCAAATGCATTTCTTTCTAGTCAAATGCACATTTCTGATATCTGGAATATAATTCTTACTAGTACAAATGATTTCACAGTTCCCATTCATATGTATTGGGCTTTTACTTCCAGATATAAATAATAACATTCTTCCTATCTAAAACAAACATTTTTACTATCTAAAAATGAATTCTGACGAGGATGAATTGTAATATTAGATCTCCATAATAGAGTTGCTGCTGGTGAAAATTATTATTTCAGATATCAAAAATGGATATAACATTACAGATATCCAGAAATCCAGATACAGATATCAACTATTGATATATGAGTAGTTAAATGGGAATTTCAGATATCTAAATTTTTATCTATCCAAAATGCAGTTTTAAATACTTAAAAACATATTTTGACTAACATTCAAAAAAAAGAAATGGGGCACCGTTTTAAGATAAAATAGGCAGGCTGACTAGTCACATTTCTATTATAGATAGCACTAAAGCATTCTACCTAGTCACAATTACAATACTCCTAGTCAGAATTGTATTTTAGATATCACTAATTACATTTCTACCAGT